CAAATATTAATAAAATAAAAAGCATAGTACACAATGACACATATGCAATGTAAGTATACATTTAAAATTTATATTTTTATATTTCAATTTTTTTATAATTTATTGGATATTATATATATAATAATATATATAATATATATATATTATAATATTTTTTCAATATTATACTACTATTTAATTTTTAATTTTTGAAATTCATTAATGATTTTTATTTTTGTAAAAATATTTTTAAAAATTTTATTAATATGTAAACTTTTTAATAAATTTTATCATTTTCATATTTTACATATTTCATATAATTATATAATTTAATTTTAATAATATCAAAAAATATATTATATATTATATGATTTAACATTCTTATGTTTACAGTTTGAATTCATCCAGTTGTATTCAAATCTACATTAGCAGTACTGCAGTTGATTATAATAAGAAAATGTGGATGTTGAAGTTTGCAAAAAGTGTCATTATATCTTATAGTAATATATATAGACTTTGTATTTAATTATTTAAATTTAAACTATGTTATAAAATTTTGGAAAAATCTAAATGTTTTAATAGGTAAAATCATTAGTTTTAATAGTTTCAAATAATTTCTTGTTATATTTTTATAGATTTAAATGAATCTTATTATGTTTTCAAATTTTTTAATGTTTTTTCTTAAAATTAAAGTTTAAAAAATATATTTTATATCATATAAATATTTTATTGAAATTATGCTGCAGTTATTTTTGATTCTACATGTAAATTTATTATTTTCTTGAATCTTTTTAAATAAATAACATATATGAAATAATATGCATTAACATATGTGAAAAATATAAATGTCAAAAAATATTTAACTTTATTTTAAATATATGTATACATAATAAAAAACATTTACATTATTTAAAAACAATTCAATTTATGAAAAAAAAATATAATTCATCTAAAAAACTATATTTAAATGATGTTCAAATTTTAATTATATTTTTAATAAATCATTTAAATTTCAATATGTTAATACATTTTCAATCTTAAATAAAAATAAATATATTTTGGAATATTATATTTATCAATGAATGTACAATTTAATGTAATAATTTTTGTCATTATTTATTTCAATAAAAATTATAGATTTAGTATAACTTAGTTCATTTCTTTATATTAAAAACAAAAAAATTAAATATAAGCCATTCCTATCTCTTTTTATAATTTTTTTTTTAAATAGAAACTAATTTTATTTAATAATGTTTCAATGAAAACATTTAATTTTCTAAGATTTTAAAATCATCTACGATTTAATATTTATGTAAATAATAATAAAGAATGATATATAAATATATATATATGCTATTACTAAATTCTAAAAATAATTTTAAAATTAATATATAGTGCAATTAATTAACGTTTTCATTGAATTATTAACAATAATGTATATAATATAATTTTATTAAAATTCATTAAAAAAATATACCTTATTTTATAACAAGAATAAAATTAACATCTGTAATACATAGTAAAACTATTAACATAATCATCAATAAAACAAAAAGAACATAAGAAGAAAGTTGACAAAAGAAATGATATATTATATATTGTCTGCACCGCACAGGGCAGATTGACTTGTGTTAATTATCTTCTGCCAAAGTGTTGATTCTTGCATTAATAGCCAGTAATTGAGCCACAAAGGCTGAATCGCTCATAACTGTAGCAAGAGCAGATAATAGATCTTCTAGAGAATCTTGTAAAAGACCTAACTGCCGGGCACATTCGGCGATAATTTCCTTTTCTTCAGTATCAGGATTTATCTAAACAAAATATATTATTATTTAACAATACTAATTTTTTATAATTATTTAATATTAATTTTTGTATGAATAAAAAACATACTTTTGGTGAACTGCAGAATTTATTAAATGCCATTTTGATTCGTCTTTTGCCACTATTAGTTTGATAAAAAATTGTAAAACTTTGTGCATTGTTTATATCCAGCACAACAGGAAAATATAAACCAGCTGTAACATGACCTTTAGTATCTCTTGCAAGAAGACTTCTGAAGTTATAAACTAAATTTCTGCGTTCCGTAACATCAATGGCAGTTAAATAAGGCCTTGCCACATATATAAGAGCAACTTGTGTTCTTTCTAAGGTATCAGATCGTGTTTTTCTTTCATGCCATTCAATATAATCAGGATCGTTACTGCATAAAAAGTAATTATATTCTTTTTTACAATCTGGTTCATCAGATTGAATAAACCAGCCTGTATGTGGGTATAATTTATCCTCCATTATAGTAATTACTCGAGCTACATGATATCCAGGATCAAGTAGCATAACTCCTTGTCGTCCGCCAATTTTAATTTTCAGGCACACTAACACATGTTCTTTTTCACCACTATCTGCAGCAGGTGGTCCTCCAACATAATTAGCAACATTATCGATCGTCTACATAATAAAGAAATTTATAAAGAAATTATGAAATTTTTAATTATAAAAAATATATATGTGTGTGCGCGTGTGTGCGTGTGTGCATGTGTGTAGATTAAAATATATTTAAGAATTATAAATATACCTCTTCACAAGACACTAAATAGAAACCACTTGCTATACCAGGAAATCTTTTATTTAAACATTTTAAACGGTATAGTAATTCAAATCCTAAACCCACACAAGTATGATGTTCACGTGTTATCAATGGTTGATATTTATGATAAAATCTTTCCAGAACAGTTTCTCCACTTGCAATATAGTCCTTATAAAACCTATTAATTGCAAAACAAATTATTATAATAATTGTTTTATAATAATATTAATATAAACTTATAAAACATATGTTATGACAATTACTTAAGGAAATTGCCAATGGTATCATAGCGATGCTCACGCAGTAAATGCTGCGTTTCTAATTCAACGCTGCCTGCTAGTTCCTCATATTGTTCGACCGTTAAAACGGTCAAGGCTGGTGCCTCATAATGGGCCCATACCGGCAAGGGTAGCGGCACACCCCTGATCCAGGGCCCTCGTGCCTGCCCTTGTGGCTGGCACCATGTTTCTGCTGTCTCGAGTCAACTTGGCCATTCACTTCCCCAACGGCCCACTGTTGGCACAAAGCCATGCTCATCCCTGCAGCTGCTTATTGGCTCCACAGGGCTCTCTCCGTGTTTTATACTCTTCTCTCGCTCTAAAAATATAAAATTATATATTTTTATCATCAATATATTTTACGTATGTATAACATATATATATATATTATTAATAATTTTAAATAAATAATTATTTATTTTAAAAGATAAAATATATAAAAAATAATATCTTTACTTTGTACTTCCATAAGTATGAATAGAATATTTTTTAATCAATATAATTCATAACTTATTTATTATAATTATTATTTCTATTAATAAATATATTTACCATATCTCCATTGCTATTTAAGCACACGAATTAATATGATTCCGAATGACAAAATTTGTGAAATAAAAGTAGAGAAACGGATCGGAGTTGTCGTTGGCTTAGTATCCAACATGGCGACGGTATATATACGCATGATGAATCAATACGTGACCAGATAGATATGTAATATGCCACGTGTCTACTATGCTTTCATCTCAATGTTACTATTCGCGTTAATATATTATTTTTTATTTACTAACATTAAAAAGATTGCCAATTCTAACAATATATTTAATATCTATATTAAATGTTTAATATTTTATATTTTCCAAACTATATCAAAATAGATTAATTAATATTATGAAAATAATTACGTAAGAAAAAACATATATTTGTTTTTTATTTTTAAATTCATAATACATTATTATAATTTTAAAAAAAATTCAAATTTTAAATATGATTTAAGAATAATGGTATAGTAAGTATGAAATTCTAATGACGCCAAAACATTAATGTTTACATTTATCAGCTTAAATATTTATTTGATTTAATAGCACATTACTTATATCAATGTATTATGTTTATAATTTATTATCATTGAACATAATAATTTAAATTATAAATATATGATATTAGAAGTGAAAGTATTTCCCTCCCGAACTAGGACACACAAGATGTTTCAAGTATGCATATGCGAATTATTTTATTTTGTAAATAAATATAATTTTTTATTCAAAACATAGAAAAATTAAAAAAAGAAAGAAAGAAATTAAACTAAATTAGAGAACTTACCCATACAATGAGCGCACCAAACAAACAAAAACTTTCCCTCTTCGGAAGCTTGGCACAATTTACACGTCCGAAGTCCAAGCAGAACTGGATAGTGGAATGTATGCTGAAGATTATATACGTTCAAGCCTTTGTAGTTTTCCCTTACCTCTCTGCCAAGCTTGGTTTGATAATTTACCACGTGACTATTATTTCATACAAAATTTAGAAGACATAATTTAGAATTTGTATGTTTTCTTTCTTTTATAAATAAATTGAAAAACAATTTTTTCTTCTAATATTTAATATTACTTTTTTGTATTACATTCGAAAATATGTTCAATAAATATATATTTACATATTTATAATTATTAAAATTTTATCCATATTTGAAATTCTACATTATTTACATAAATTCTACATTATATATTTAATATAAATTTCGAAATTAATTAATAGAAATTAATTAAATAAAACAAAAGAGATGAAAATTTGTCACAAAGAATTCATCTTAAATATGATTGGTTGAACATATTGCGCTTCTGAAAAATATCACCATTTTCCAATTGTTAAGCTATCGAAGCCTTACGTTAATTTTTCTTGAGTTGAGTGTCATGATAAATATGACTGTATACATTCTTCGAAACGTTAATATAATTATTAAGATTTCCAAGAAAAAAAATAGATACTATATTAATGATTATTCTCATTTTTTATTCATTGCATATGTTATATTTTTTTTTTATAACTTCAGGCGCACTATTTTAAATGACCTTGAATTGGTATTTTTTTAAGTTACAAATATTCTACTCTGGGATTCTATGAAATTCTGAATCATGACAAACAAAAATGATATTTCGCGCGGTTTTATTGTTAATATTGTTAATATATTATTAATATTATTTTAATAATTCAGCCAATTGACGCTACAAACAATATATAATAAATATATAAGTGTATATTGTTTTATATATATATAAATATATATTTAATCTAACATATACATATAAATATATATTTAATCTAACATATACGCAAATTAAAACATAGTCACATTAGATACATTTAGATATCTATTGATCACGTGATTATAATGTAATTCTATAAGTATTTTGATGAAACGAAATTACTACGCAGTTATATTATTCTTTTGAGAAAATTAAAAATAAATCAACTGTTATTAATATAGTTTATTTGATAATGATTTTATTTTTTATTTATTTTTATAAAAAATATATACAAAAACAGTTTAATTATTATTTAATATATAGTATATATTTTCATCAATTTAATATTAAATATCAGAATATTTTTTCATCGATTATTATTATTTTCTTAATCACACTTTAAAAAATTATATTAAAACAGTTTCATGTTCATATTTATAATGACAGATATATTTCCATAATAGTGACATATGAATTTCGATAATAATGCAAAGAAATTTAATCTTTATATGTACTTATATATTTATTTTATAGAAGATATACGTAAATATTTTTTTATTATAATTATAATTAAATCAGATTATTATTAATCAATAATTATAAATCAGATTTCTATTGATTTTTGTTTGGTAAAGCAATTTAATTACATAAAATACAAAAATATGTATATGATTCATGCATGACGTAAAGATATATTTTTCTGTCAGTTGAAACATTGCATTGCATATAAATGTAATGTTTGTGTAAATGATCTATATGTACATGCGTTACAAATTCTTGAATGTTACAAGTTCAACTAAAATAAATAATGATAAAATTATTTTTGATAATTCTTAACATTATATCGTTTAAAATAAATATTTTCTTTCAAATTTTTTATTTCGAATTCTTTTTCTTTTATTCTTCTGTTATTTTATTAAGGTATTATCATTATTTTATTAATAATATTCAAGTACTGTTTAAAATACTGTATATATATTTAAAATATTTTGTTTAAAATTTGATTATATTTTTTCAGAACGTTAATAATTATCTTATAGTAGAATAGTTAATAATTGAATAGTTAATAATTATGTATTGAGTTATAATTTTATATTATCATATATTATTTGTATCGTTTAATTCATACAGATAAATATACATTTAGAATATATTAATATGATAAAATCGATTAATTGTTTATCAAAATAGCATTATTTTTTATTATTTTCTATGTATTTCTATGTACTTTTTGAATATATAATATATAAATATATATATTACTAATAAATATATATAATTATAAACATTATTTGAAATATAAGTATTATATTTTTTATTGATTAAATATGTAATATATATTTGTTTTTTTAAATTTTATTATATATTCGTAATATCTTGATATAAATTAATAAATATATTCTTAAAATATTAATAATAAATATCGAATCTTCTATACATTTTCTTAATATATACATATATATATAAATTTAAATTTTTTATTTTCTTCTAGTAATGATGATTAAAATTTAAATATATAATGATTATATTTATATAATTTTATAATATTAATTTTAAATTTACTTTAAAACAATTTTACTTGTAATTATATAATATAATTACAAATAAAATTTTTCTATTTTGAAAGTATAATTTTAAGTTATTATTATACAAATACTTTGTATAATAAAACTGATTTTAAAGGCACGTGATATGAATGAACCAATCGAATTTAGTAATGGATATGCATGCATTTAGATGAGATAGAAAATTATCTACTTATATACGTATGTAATCATACATGTTTTCTTGATATTAATGTGTATAAAATATTTATATTATATTAAACACTATCAATATCTTTCATAACTTTTACGATCAGTTTTATAGATCACTTCGTACGTATTTTTCATTTCGATTATAATTGAAGCATATAATAAATATCAAATACGTTTAAAAAAAATATTTATATTTTTGCATAAATATTTATTTTAATTTGTTTATTATTATATTAAAAAAATAATATAATTATTAATTTAATAATTTATAATAATTTTATTTATTTCTTGATATTTATTTTCTTGATATTCATAAACATATGGAAATCATTGTTCAAAAGAATATATTTAATATATTTTTTATTTCAGATTATGAAAACAATGATAAAAAGAATGAAATTGATATGAAATTAATGCTATAAAATATCTTTCTATGTATATGTTTATTTTGGAACAATAAATAACAATGTCATATTAGAAAGATGATACATCAGAAACAATTATGAAATAAATGTATGTATATTTTATATATTTATATTTATATATTTTAATAAGTTATTTTTTTATTTTTAAT